TAGCAGCAGTTCCACGCTGTAATTTCTGGCCTACAGAAAAGAGATAACCAAAGCTCTTCAAAGATGCTGGGGCTCACCTCACAAGTTATTTCTCGGGGTAACATGAAAGGTATCAGGGTGTCAAGAGGGCCACACTCCTTTCAGAGGCTCTGGGGGTTACCCATTCCTTTCTCTTCTAACTTATTGTTGTTATTGTCTTTCCTTGGTTCATGGCCACATCTATCTTTCCTTGACTCATGACCACATCTCTTTTTGATCCACCTTTACATCACTTTCTTCTCTATGTATCTGTGTGTAAAATCTCCCTCTGTCTTTCTCTCACTTGTGATGGCATTTAGGGCCCACCTTGATAATCCAGATAACCTCCACCTTTCAAGATCCTTAAACACATTTTTTGCCATATAAAAGAACAGCCACCATTTTACCATATAAGGTGATAATTATAGGTCCAAAAAGTAGGTCATGACATGTATTTTGAAGAGTCACCATTCAGCCCACTATACTCATATTATTTATAAGGCCCTACACCAATCAATTTCACCATTTTGCTTAAAGCATGGCATTGTCATTTTGCCATAGTATTTGATAAGAAAAGTTATCCATCTGTATCATCTCTTTTTCTGATGTTATGAATAATATCTCATTTTCTATTATATTTTAATTGACTATTGATGGTATAGAAAAACACAGATGGCTCCATAATTGGTCTTGCACAATAGGATATTTGCTAAATTTTCTCATAGCTCTATAAATGTCTCTTGATCCTGTTGAGTTTTCTATATAGATAATCATATCATCTGCAAATAACATTGTCACTTTTCTATACCAAGCCTTATAACTGTTATATCTTATTTTATAATCATATCATCTACAAATAACATTTTGACTTTTCTATACCAATCCTTATAACTGTTACATCTTATTTTAAAAAAATAATTTTGCTGGCCATAGATTTTAATCCTTTATTTATTAGTAGTGGCAATAGTGAGAATTCTTATCTTGTTTCAGGTCCCACAAGAAATATTTCTAACAATTTTCTATTAAGAATCATGTTTGTGTCAAACACATAGAAGCAGAGAGTATAATTCACACAACTAGAAACTAGTTACCAAGTCCTGGGCAGGGGGAAAATGATGAGATGTCAATCAAAGGATACAACATTTCAGTTACACAAGAAAAATAAGTTCTGGAGATCTACTATAATATATGATTAATAGTACTATGTTGTATATAATTAATAATCTGTCACAGGGGTAGATTTTATGTTAAATGCTCTTACCACAAAAGGAAAAACAAAAAGAAAATCATCTTTGTTATTAACTTTTAATATACACACTAGGTCAAGTTAAGAAAGTCTCTAGTCTTGTTTTTTTGGTTTCAAGCATATTAATCACATTATTATAATTTCATATATAGATTTCCTTTTATTATGTGATTGGCATATTTCTTTCTGAGAGGTAAATTTAAAACTGTAATAGTTTATTTGTTCTTTTCCCTCTCCAACTTTTTAGTTGTGTATTTATAAAACTGGGGGTTATATATTAACAATTTAAAATTGTTGTAACTTCTGAATCTATTTTCTGTTTATATGTATTTAAAGTATTACTGCTCATGATACTTTTAGCTTAAATTATATATCATTTGATATTAAAATTTCTATATTGAATTATTTGGGGGCTTTGTATCCTTTTTTGTTTAGTGAATTTCTTACAGACAACATATTACTGGATTTTCTCCCCCTATGTAACATCTCTTCTGATTGATTGGGTCACCCTATGTAGTGGGCTAAATGATGGCCCTCAAAAAGAGATGTCTACATCCTAACCTGGGACTTGTGAATATTATTGTACATGGCAAAGATGAGATTAAGTTAAGGTTATTGAAAAGAGAAGCTTATTCTGGATTATCCACATGGGTCCTGAATGAAATATAAAAGTCATTAAACTGCTTTGTGTCCATTTTCTTATATCCTAAATAGGAAAATTTGTGCCTAGCTAGTCTTCCTCATAGCTTCTTAGTTGTGAGGATTAAGTGGTTAACTGGCCACAAGTCATTTGGCTCTACCCCAATATGGCCCCACTTCCTAAGCCGACGACCTTAGCTTAAGACCTTGGAAAACAGAGGCTTACATAGTAGATATAGAGATACTGATTACAGAAAGAAAAAAACTCTTACTCTGAGGTGAGTTTATATGAAAATTTGGTCACGAAATACATAAAATAACTGGGATAAATATGGAATGCATATATAAGTACAACAATATGGTAAAGTAGGTATGGTAAAAGTACTCAAAGCATAAAACACAGTATAAACATAGTAACCTCAGCAAACCAATATGAAATAAATGAACATGATAAAGTATCCATTACAATTACTTATGGTATTTCATTGAAGAAAAAGTTTTGTTATAAACACAAAAAGTAGCCAGAAACCTCAGTAACCAACATAGAATAGCAACTTCATAAAAAATATTAATATTATACTCTACATACCACCACCAATCTCAGAAATGCCTTGCAGTAATTGCAGATCACAATTTTATTATTAAATTATGATTTGACATTTGGATGAAGAAGAGGAAAAATTAAAACCTACATGGTTTCATGGTTGAGAAGTAATAGAAAATTATTTTATACTTTTTGGTTTTATTTCTTCTCAGTTATACAGAACTATATAATTAAATAATAAAAACTATTAAAATACATTTTATGGTGTCATAAAATTTATGTGCTTCTTGGAATTTGAAATAATTAAACATATGTAGAGTACATGTTTTATCTCTAAGTAGATGAAAGCTTCAAGAAAATATAAGAGCTAAATTAATTGAAAACTGTTAAATTTAAATTAAAAATGTTTAATATGTCACAAAAGGATGGGAACATATGCCCATGTTTATACAAGTCTGTGTAGTTCAAATCATAGTGAGATCTTAAAATAGCACACTTAAACACAATTTGGTAAGTATTCATATTTTTTTATGTACATAGAAGTTTCAAATTTATACATAAACATAGGTGAAACTAGCCAGAAAAAATATTGCTAAGGATGCATTTGCATAAAGTACTACTACAAATAAATAAATATATATGTAAAGGTTTTATGTTCTTGGCAGACTTCAGTCTAAGCAATATATAACTTAAAGCCATATGCATATTATTAAATATCCACTGTATTCACCACTTTTTGAAACTTGGTAACACTTCTTAATTAAAATATGCTGCACACTGTTATATATTCTTGCTTATTAATATATTTAATATTTAAAATAACCCTGTAAGGTATCATCCACATTTTACAAATGAGGACCCGGTAAGAAAAATGCTAAATAACATAGCCAAATTCACACAACTAGAAACTGTTTTAGCCCAGTTTCAAACCTTGGTAATTTGGTTCTAGAAATGACACTCTTCATCATTTTGTGACATGGCCTTTGCAGGCTTTAACAATTAGAGTCAGTTCTCCAGTAAAATGTTGATAGAGACAAAGTTTGCAGTCCACATACTCAGCATTTTTGTCAAACCCCTCTGCTCCCATAACTCTAAGTTGCTCTGAAGTTGCTGCCCTTTCTAATTACTCCCAAGGTGATAATTAATAAGAGAAGTATCACAGATTGCTACATTTGTATTTTAATGACCATACTAGAGATGTACCTACAGATTCAAAGAAAAAGATCTGAAATTGTTGAATTTGAGATAACAAGTCAGTGGTGATGGTGGAGGCAGGGGCTTGGCAGGTACATAACTGTAAGCAGGAGATTTTATTTAGTTTCCTTAAATTGCACCACAGTAATATTTAAAGTTTTTTTACTTAATTATATTATCTGGCTAGCACTGAAAGTATAATATTCTTGCATATTTTTATTAATCAGGGTTCTTCAGAGAAACAAATCTAACAGTCCAGTCCAAGGATAGGAGAAAGCTGATGTCCTAGCTCAATCAAGCATGTAGGCAGGCAGGGAGGGAGTAAATCCTCCCATCCTCCACTTTTTGTCCTGTTCAGGCCCTCAGTGGACTGGATAATGCCCACTACATGGGGAAGGGTAATTTACTTTAGGAGTCCACCAATTCAAATGATAATCTCATCTGGAAATACCCTCACAGACACACCCAGAAATGTTTAATCTGGATACACTGTGGCCTAGTTACATAGACAAATAAAATTAACTCTCACAAGTCAACCCCTTGTCAACTTGGAACTCATATGAATCTCCTTAAACCATATTTTTCTCCAAATAAATAAAATAACAAGGTCATAATTCTGCCTAACATGTTACAACTATCCAGCATAAACCAAAAGTACAATAATCCCTTCCCAGAAGAGAAGGTAAAGTCCTTGAGTGATATTTACTCTTCCATTTGATATCCCTTAATTTAAATAGTGCAAATTAAAATTAACAGTAATTAATGCAGTGATATGAAGTCAATACATCTTATGTATCCCATGTTACATAATAAAGGAATAAGAGACAAGGAAAACAAATATATCTAATCTTTGGTGGTCACATGCTCACAGGTGGTATTGACGACCACCTTCTTGCACTACTCACTCTGCATTCCCATTGACTTCAGAAGCACCTCAGCAAGTCTTGGTTCTTTACCTGGTATGGTGACCCAAACTTTCATTCCTGAAGAATCTGTGCCTTTAGCAGTAGTGTCTGGATTGAGTTGTTGTTCTTTTCCATTGACCTTAATTGCAGGGCATGGTAATACTAAGAGATCCCTAAGGAATCTCTTGTATTCTGAACATTCTCTTCCTTTACCTCCACTGGGGAGTAGTCCAATTTCCCTTGGTATTCAGAATCATTCACCCCAGCCAGTACTGCAACTTTCTTCTTTGCCTGCTGATTCAGAGGCATGAGAAATCCAAACTGCCTGAGCGGCAGTCTTAACTTGCAGTTAAACAGAATTATTTTTGTGTCTCCTGGTAGAAGCATTCCTCCCTCTAAGATTTTGGGCCAGCAGAACATAAATTCATAGGGAAAAAAAAGAAATGTTGCTGCTTCAGGGTGGTGGGGAACATGGTGAAACCAGTGAATTCCATGAGCCACGTGGCAGCATATATTGTGTGGTAAAGTGAGTTCTCATGGTAACTTGGTGGCTCATGGTTAAGTATTCAGTCTCGACCGAGGCCCAGTAGCAGGCAAAAACTGTTCCTCAAAGGGAGAATAGTTGTTTGCTGAGGATGACAAGGCATTGCTTCAAAATCCTAAGTTGCAATGCACTTAAAAGGGCCTGCCAAAGGCTTCAACAGCATCACTATCTGCCACCAATTCTTAATGCACCATAGATCTGCCGGATCCTTTGGTTCAAGCTACAGAACGAAAATCTTGTTCTGTTGCAGAGCCTTGTCTTTTTCTGGGCTCCACTGAAAACTAGCAGATTTTAAGGTCCTTTGGTAAATGGGCCAGAGTAACACACCCAGATGAGGAATATGTTGCCTCCAAAATGCAAAGAGCTCCACTAGGCATTGTGTTTCCTTTTTGGTTGTAGCAGGGACCAGGTGCAACAACTTATCCTTCATTTTAGAAGAGATATCTCAACATCACCCAAAGCACAGGGCTCCTGAAAATTTCACAGAGGCAAGAGTTCCTTGAACTTCTGTTGGATTTATTTCTCACCCTTTGATATGCAAATGTGTCACTGTTGCGTCTAAAGTAGTTGCTACCTATTGCTCAATGGGCATGTCATCAATGTAATGGACCAGTGTGACATCTTGTGGAGACAAAGGTGATCAAAATCTCTGTGAACTAAATAATGACATAGGGTTATGCTTGACCTAACCTTGAGGTAAGACAGTGAAGGTGTATTGCTGGTCTTGCCAGCTAAAAACAAGCTGTTTTTGGTGAACCTTACAGACAAGGTAGAGAAAAAGGCATTTGTCAGATCAATAACTTCATACTAGGTACCAGGGGATGTGTTAATTTGCTTAAGCAATTAAACCACGTCTGGTACAGAAGCTGCAATTTGAGTATCCACCTGGTTTAATTTACAATAATCCAGTGCCAATCTCCAAGATCCATCTGTCTTCTACACAGGCTGTACTCAGGAGAGCTGAGTGAGGATGGGTGGGAATCCTCACCCTTACATCTTTCAAGTCCTTGACAGTGGCACTCATCTCTGCAATGGCCCCTGGAATGGAGTATTGTTTTTGTGGAGGCTGAGAATTCCCATAATCTGCGGTCTGGAAACTGGAGGCCCAAGAAAGCCAGTGGTGTAATACTAGTCCAAGTCCAAAGACCTGAGGACTATGGGAACCAAGAGTATTAATCCACGTCAAAGAGCAGAAGACTAATGTCCCATTTCAAGCAGGCAGGCAGGAAGGCATCATGCCCATCCACATTGGAGAGATGTTCCTGAATTCACCTGTTCAAATGTTAATCTCATCCAGAAATACCCTCACAGACACACTCAGAAAAAACCTTTAATCTGTGCACCCTGTGACCCAGTCACACTGACACACAAAATTAACCATCACAATATTTTAATGGCTATATAAATGCATAATTTACCTAGTTTTCCCAGCATTTTGGGAAAAAAAATGTATTTAACCAATGTCTAAAATGACTATTCCCTTGAAGTGGAACCATACTAAGATGTTACTTGAAATGACTAAATGTCATTTTGCAATTACCAACAAAATTATATTTCTTAAGATTCTTGTCTAAATTCAGCATTTGAACATGCCACCCTCACCCTTGAAATAAGCTATACTCTGACTAATGGAGACACAGTAGCCATCACACAGAAAGGCTTTTCAAATGAAGCTCATGTACCCTGCAAGTTTGAACAGCTCCAGTGTGTACAACCAAAGGCTTGTGACCTTTGCTATTGGAAAAAAAAAAGTCTGTTGACTCCTGGGCTCATTATTTCACACACACAGCCAGTTGGATTAAAGTTTCCTAGAATGGAAATACCAGTTTCCAAACAAAGTGATTTTATTTTCTCTTGTAAAAATGTGCTATTTCTCTTTCCCTGAGAGCCATTTTTTTTTCCTTCTGTATAATAAACTTTAGAACTACAATGTATCTTCAGAAATAGGAATAGATGATTCAGCTTATCAAACCATATTTTTCTAAAACCTCCAGATCAGGCAGTTATGAGGGATATCAGCACCCCCATAAAAATAATTTTATTTCACTTCTTCTAAAATAAAAAAAAAATCTCTATAACAATACTGTGACTCTCCTTTATATATGTGTGTGTGTATATATATATATACTTAACATATACACTTTATCTTTTTTCTGGTAACTCTCATTGTTTTTAAAATGTGTATTTTAAAATGTATATTTTCTGTTTCTCTTTGTTTACAAAATGCATGCTCTATTGAGACCCCAATGAATATTACAATTTTTTTCATGTGGGAATCCTAGAGCTTCCTTCCCCTGTGGATCTCAAAACATTTTCCGAAACATTTGAGGGGAGATGTTTCATCCTGGATTATACTTATGTATAAGAGAAAACCTGCAAATTACATTTAAGAACTGATGATAAAGAGTCATACAGTTGATTGTAGAGACCCTTAATTTCCTTCTGCATGTAGACTGAAAAAATTGGCAAAAGTTGTATATCCAAAAAAAAAAAAAAAAAAATCTTAGTGTGTGGTATTATTTCCAAAATAGCAGCTGCTTGAAGAGAGGTATCCAGCTCTCTTACCCCCAGATCTTTGTTGAAATACCAAAGTAATCTTCCCAGAAAACAAGAAAAATCCCATGTCAGCCATGGAAACAGAAGAAAAGTTTGTCTCACACTCCAAAATCTTTAGGCTAGAAACGAAAATGGTAGCAGAGAAAATATTGAGAGAAGATTCACTCTCCTCTCACAAGCACCAGTGAGGGATCATGGAAAATGAGGGGAGAAAAGAAAATTTGTGTAACTCCATAGTTACCACTTTTCTCAGTAGAATTCTACACAGCCCCATGATTTGGAAGGAAAACTCAGGGAAATGGCCCAGGCACAAAGGGAATGAATCTTTTGGACTCTCAGTATGCAGAAACAGCTTTTTTGGAGGTCTATATTTTGTGTGGTGGTGTTGAGGAAGCTGGTAGGTTTTGTCCAGAGCTACTTCTTGATACAGGGGCCTTGCTGTATTAGCAAAATCAGGAAGGAGCCTGGATGTGGCCAAAAGTGAAGAGGGGCTAAGGCAAAGCTGGCAGAATACTTAACATTTCCTGGCTCCTTCACTTCACCAAGCAGAAATAAAGATTTTTGTGCTGTTTGGAAAGCTCATGGCCTTAAACCATTCTACTCGATGTTTAGTTTACAACAAATAAACCATTCAGCTTAATGCCTATGTCTACATTTCTGAGGAGAGTTCAGTAGAAAGGGGGAAGACAAGAGGAAAATATATTCATCATACTGATGAGTTAGAATCAGGTCTGAAAAGTGTGTTCTTTGTTTAAATATAAGCAAGGAAAAAGAATAAGTAAAGGGAAAGAGGAACCAGTTAATCATGAGAGTACAGTGTCAAGGAAGCTAAGGAAAAATGTTGCAAGAAGAAAACTCTTCTTCCTACAAAGAGTTGTCAACTGATTCAGATACTGGGAAGGATACGAAGACTAAAAACATTTGCGCATTTAGGGGATTCAGATCCGTGGTGAATTTATTCTGGGTGATTTTTGTGGAGTGATGGGAGCAGGAGCTAGGTTAGAGAGGATTAGAGAGTTAGTGGGAGGTGTGTGGGAGGTTGAAAAATCCCTCTCTCCAAAGATGTCCTGAGATTAGAGATATCTACCGTTTGGAAATGTACTGTCTTACTAAAGGGGGATAGCTCACAATGTATACATATGTCAAATCGTCACATTGTACACCTTAAATATCTTAAAATGTTATTTATCAATTGTACTTCAATAAAGCAGTAAAAAAGAGGAATAACTGTTGGACGAGCAGAAATATATGTGGTTATGAATACATGAGTGCATATATGCATATAATTATATATGAAAATATATACATATATAAAAATCTAAATTGTTTTAGTGGAACAGTTATTTCCTTGAATGTGCTTTATTAAAAAATCTTTTCCACCTATGCTTTAGAATAACAACTAACAAACAATAAAAGTAATCTGTTCAGTTATATATAGTCATAAAAATGAAACTAAAGCTACTAAACCCCTCTTCTACTTACTTCTCATGGTGTAAGGCTCTCAATTAGTGGAAAATCCACCATATGCTTATATCCCTCATTTGAGCTTAACTCCTATTGTGTCAAATTTATAAAATAAATTTAATTTAAAATTTACAGACCATATGTTGAGTTAAACTTGAAATCTCCTAGGACGCCTACAATAAGATAAATATTCAAATTGGTGAAGTAAGTTTCCACAGCATAACCCCTACTTCTCCTTATTGCATATCCAACCATTTTTATCCAAGCTGCAGTGCATAAAATAGACATCATATCATCCTAGGCCTGCCAATCATATTGCTCTAATTGTTGCAGAAAACTTAATGTGAATTTACCTCTGCTAAAATTGTTACTCTACAAAGAGTTTCTCCAAGTACTTTATCAAGATTCTGTGGTATAGAACTTCACGATGTAAAATGACATTCTAAAATAGAGTCACTTCCTGAAGAAGCAGAGCTTTCGCCCTCATTGGAGTTATCACTCAAAGTTGAGAGAGGAAAGCAAAAGAAATAATTATCTTGCATGAATGAGCAGATTTCTCTTCTTTCACAAACTATGTTGGCGACCTCAGTTTGCCTATGTTTTGCACGGAGATGAACTCTTGCAGGAAGGAGTTGGGAAAATAATAAGAAACAAACAACTGAGGGTTGGGGTTGAGAGGAATAGAGGTGGAAGTAAAGAAAAAAGCCTTCTTTAGGGCTTGTAGAAAGAAAATCTTAAAACGATCTGATCACTTTCTCTGATGAAAATAATATATTTCCTTGAATATAGGAGCTGTTACAGTTGCTGAGAGAACGCACTTACATTGTTTTTGAAAGAGTACAGAAAGTATCTGTGTAAGGTCTTTCTTCAGCGAATCCAAGCTGCTGGCAAACTGGCCTGTCACTTGAGCTTTATATACTGGAAGTTTCTGGACTATATGGGTATTGCAGGAGCCTCTGACAAGTCTCAATATGGTAATCACAGTACAAACATCTTGGGCTGTGGAATAAGGCCATGTCTTCCTCAGGAGCTTGAAAGCATGCTTGAAAAGCAGCTCCATGCTTGCTATGGGGCCTCAACAGAGCCTGAATGCTGGACCATGGGCCACTACATGTTGATGGCATCCAAACAGCCCATCGTGATGCTGGTATTATCTGATTTTACACATTTGAAAAATAAACAAATAAAAACAAGGATGAGAGCACCAGCCTTTTTTTGCTAAAAAGATAATCGATGTTTTCCACTGAATATGCGTATCTCCTCTCGCTCTGCCTGTTTTCCCCCTGTTTCCATGATATAAAAGAGTATACTGATGGCAGGCAGTGTTTCAGTTTAGGTTTTGGGTAGGATTGTGATTCCATTGACACCAACTAGGTGTAATATGATGACAGACATCCAGACAAAGAAGTGTGTATCCTGAGGAGCAAAAGGAAGAACTGTGCTTAGCTATTCTTATTTTCCATTCCAGATCCACTCTCCATTGCACTCCACTATCTCCACTACTTTCTTTGCTCCTAGAAGTGTCCTCTGCCTATAGATTCAGATGAGTTCCCTTGCCTTCAATAACCAGATGGATTCAGAACTCAGCTACAGCTATGCTCTCTGGGCTCAGGGCTGTGGTGGTCACAGCTTTGCATGATGGCTTCTTGTAGAATGTTCCAGCAGGCCATGTCTTTCCCTTAACCCTGCCTAAATATGTGTGAAAACTCCTTCCTTAAACTCTCCTTAATTACCTTTTGAGGGTACCATCTGTTTTCTGATGGTCTCTAGCAGAAACAGCTGTTTTGATGCAGCTGTAACAAAATGGTTGGTAGAAAAAAATGTAAAGAAACTGTTCTTATAAATTACATCAGATTTAAACTGCACATCCCTAAACTTCATGGTATCTCCAAGCCTTGCCCTATTTCTTACACTCTGCTTCTTCTCAAACCCTTGGCCAGCGTCTCTCCACACTATATGCAATCAAGGATTCTCATTGCATCCTTGATCCCAGTGGTTCTGAGAGTTAGGGACGTGATAAACTTGTATTTAGGGGAGACCCAGGAATGCAGTGAGGATGTCTGTTTTGTATATGACATGGTAACTTTAAAAAAAGTAAAAAAAAAAATTGTTTTTCGAGGTCTGAACAGAATAATTTCAAGGCAAAGTTGTCGCTTTGCCAAAACAGTGACATCCAAATGTCATGTACTATACTTAGAATTGTTTCAGTATATTAATATCCAGGAACATGAATAGACAGACTAACTTCTATTACACATACTATGAAATCAACAAGAGGAAAATTCCAGCCTTCAGTTATGGAATGTAAGCTTCCAAAGAAGAGTAGGATTGTGAAAGTGTCCTGTTTGATGAGAATATATTTTCTTCAGGGATTTTTGCTGGAGTGCAAATCCACCATAACACCTTGATAGTATTAGAAATGCCTTTATTTACTTTTCAATGTTTATTTGATCCCGACTGCTTAAAAATTCATAAGCACTCGGTCAAGCATATGCAAGAAAAAAACAAGTTTAGAATAGGTGAGTAAACACAGAGCGTGTGAACTTTTATAAAGCTGAAGATGTGTTGAATTTAGCTCAACTCTGTTTTTGTAAAAGTTTATAACTATTTGCCAGCTTCTTTAAAAGGAAATACAAGCAAACATACAGTTTCCATAGTTATTATTAAACTTCACCTGTATTTCCAGGTGAATTTATCATTTTTGTTTCTGACAGGTGTTATCTGTAGAAACAAGATTTAATCATGTGCTTTTTAAACTGACAACTGATGAGCTGAAAGTTAGGGCTTGATGATATGGAAGGGTCTTTTGCACTCACTTTGCTCTGAGTATCAACCTGACTTTTCTTTCTTTATACATTTCCTCTTTCACTACACAATTCCAGTTTTGAGGCACAGAGCAATAAAACCATTATAGGCATATCTGCTTTCTTGGAATCTTTTTGTTAGAGTATTTGAGGCAATTTTTTTTCCATACATGCCATTAAAATCAATTCGTGTTTCTGTGTATGGTTGAAATTGGACCTCAATTGATTAAATAACAGTGAAATGGAAAGCTGATCTCCATCCACCATTTTAAACTTAATCTTTTTAATGCTGTCTTTGATCTCCTTTTGATCTTATTTTTTTTTAGAGTTCTGCATTTGTAAACCCTTTTCCTCAGTGCTTGACTTGACATATATGTAAACCCGAAAAAAATAAATGCTGCAATAGAGAAATAATTGCCAGTAGCTTCACTTTTTTTCTCAAGTTTGCCGGGTTTTCCTCCCTCAGTCCAAACTCACCCTCCTAGGCTTTCTCTCTCTCTCTCACTCTCTTCCTCTCTCTCTTCCTCCCTCCCTTCTTCCTGCCCCCAACTCACTCAATCTTATTTTCACTCCTTCTGTTACTTCATTAAAGTTTCACTTGAATGGGGATCAAAGTAAAAATATGGTGATTCAGTCAGATGCAACCATGAGACATGTATTTCAGACACCTGGATCACACTCCCTCCTCCATAGTGTTCTAGTTCAGTGAAATTTAGAGCAAATTACTAAACTGATAGTCACATATAATTCAATGCCTGTCTAAAATAGGTCGAGGGGCGCCTGGGTGGCTCAGTCGTTAAGCCTCTGCCTTC